AATTGACTGTAATAAGGCATTTACTGTGTATGTTAAATATCAATCCAGCAATTATTTAATAAAAATAGTATTTGACATGAGATATACTTCAACTGCACTATTCTTTCTGATAAGGACATGTTGGTACTAATTGCATCCAACTGTCCACCAATAGCTTCAAAGTCAGTCAAAATCTCACAAGTTACTACGTTCCCTCACTAAACCCCTCTTCAATTAAATGATTCAAGAAAGAGAGGTATCTTCATCTCACTTCAATTCAAGTCCAAAGCTCTAATTTTTCTCTTTCCCAAAACTTCCATCTTCTTTCTCTTTCTCACTTTCTCGTATTCTAAAAATCTAGGTTTTCTTGGTGGGTTGTGTTGCAGTTCAAAACAGTTGGATACTTGGATTCTATAGTTTATTTAAGTGAAGGGCTTTCTGTATTTTAATTATAAGTTTTGATATGTGTCTTGGGCTTAATCTGTTTCTAGATTCAAAATTTTCTAATTCCTTTTTCTCTTTTGGCTTTGGGTTTCTTTGTTTGGTTAATATTTAAAAATTTTGTTTTCTTGATTTTTCCATAAAATACAGTAGTTATAAACAAAAGTTCATCCAAATTTCTTGTGATATTACATGCTGATTTGTCAATGCATATGTTTTACAGCTTGAGTTCTATAAAGAACATATGAAAACTTAAAATATGAAACGCAAATTAGAAATCCTACCAATTTTTTGATGAAGAAATTTCTGAGAGAGAGACATTGAGCTGATGAAGGGTTTTCGACCAGATAGCATCCAAAGATGAAAGATTGAGAAGAATACAAAACGGCAAAACGCATGTGAGGCTTTATTCTTTAATATGGGCTAAGAAGTGAACTTTAAAAAAAAAGAATTATGCTCTTTGTGCACGTGGTGTTTGACACTTCTTTGCAAATTCAAAAATAGAATGGCGGGAAAGTGTGTTATATTTTCAAACGACAAATCGTGCTGCAACATGTGGCACAATATCAAATTTAATGTAAAAAACAATGTACTTGTAGCATGATTGTTAAAAAAAACGCCTTTTTTGGGTTCGCTACATACCTGGGTATGCCATATGAGACAGCGGGCTCTTGAGCCTCACCTTAGGTCTAACTTTGTCAGATAAATGTAAAATTATTGAACTATGTGCAATTTCATTTATCTCTTCAATC